GTAGGTGACTATGAAACCATCCCAGAAAATGAAATATTTAAATATTTGGCGTCAGTGTAATGCCTAATTACAAACCACTGAAAATGTACACTAACCAAGTCGTATGGAGTGAAGTGAAAGTAACATAATATTCAGATAGGAGATCAAAAAGTAAATGTCTGTGATGTGGCAAGCGTTTATACCACTGCAACAACCAGTAAAACTCTAAATTCTGTTAGAAATAAGCTTATAAATAATCTTTAACCCGCTCACAGAACTAGGGCACCGATTAAAGACATCATCTCAGGAATCCAGGTATGTTTCACCACTAAGGTTTTCAAAGTTAAAACAGGATATATAAACAGACGGAAGGAAAAGCCATGTGATCACTGAAATCCCCAGTCGTAACAGATATTCTTACTAACAGTTGAGAACGTATAGCTGCCAGAACATCTAAACCAGTCCGAAAGTATGTTTGATGGTATGTGGATGGCACATTTACTTTGTTTAAATCCACACATACCCATAACGTCTTCAGACGCATACAGTCGATGGTAGATGGATGAAATATGATTTCCATTTAGAAGATGACTAAGAAGAATTACCTATGCTTGGCCAAAAATCGAAGAAAAACGTTAATTTAGACAAAATATCCGCAGGAAATCATCGCATTTCTACAGCTATTTAGGTGGTAGTTTAATGTTTAAGTAATCTCTTCATTAGTTTAAAAGATTAAGGTAGGGAAATGAAACACTTGAGAGAAGCCTAACTCCTTAATAGTTAATTATCATCTTAAATTTATTCAGGAATGCATAAGGATGCGTACAAAATAGAAAACTGATATAAGTAGTGGTTGCAACACAACTAAGAAAACATCCTTGGCTTCTATGGTGTTGCTACATGAGGAAGGACTATTAGAAAGCTTACGAAGGATTTTCGATAAGGCTGGAATTAGGGTAGTGTTCAAACTTACAAGTTCTAACACAGACAAACTATGTGCGCTTAAGGATTCTGTAGACCCAGCTAGACAAAGTAAAATAATTTTACAAACACCTTGCGATGACTGTAAGGTGAAGTGCAAAGGACAAACTACTCGGTTGAAGTCAGCCAGGTAAGCAGATCATAGGCAACTAATTGATAGACTGTATTCAGATGAGTTATCTAGAGAATTTGGACCTACCTGTGTATAGGATAACACAGAAAGACACAATAGGGTGTAACAAAATATAAGTTGAGAACTGAAGACTATTGTGTTTAAGGTTGGTATTCACCATGAACTGAGATAAGTTAGGAGAACACGGGATACTTGGGAGCAGTGGACAGCAGCTCTTTTGTCCCAGTATTGGGATCCTCAGTAAGGCACGTTCATGAGCCTGTCAGGGATCGATCCCAGGATCTTCGGGTTCCATGGCTAGCACGTTAGCATTGGGTCACTGGGTTGAAATCGAATGGTCCATATTTCGTCTTTTTGCCAGTTCATGATATACCGCGACCTGTATGCAATGCCGTCGTTGAGTAGCTGTCCTCGTGTTTGGCTTGACTGATCCCGTTGGAACTTTGGGCATCACCTCTTGAAGCCATTCACCACGGAACACTAGAATAATTCAATTTTAAGGTTTTTAGGGATCTATCTGTTGATTTCAGTTTGATGTTCATCATCACCTCTGACCGGGGAACCTGGATGTCCTGGGTCCGATTTCTGGTGGAGACATGGGTGCACACTGCTAAGAAGTCCCACACTAGGACGAAACAGCTATCCAGTTCACTGAGATCAGCTCATATCTGCAAGAAATTTGATTCATATTTCCTCTGCCTTATTAAACTACTTTAACATTTTCAAATAACTTCCGTAGCAACTTAGCCAATACCTAGCCCTATGATTGTGTAGGAAGTATATATATATATATATATATATATATATATATATATATATATATATATATATATATATATATATATATATATGTTAGTGAATGAAGGTAACTTCATAGATATTTGAATTTTATCGGACCGTGACGAGAATGATAAAGGAAATCTAAGAGAAAGTGAAACACCCATCTCAAATTACTGAACATCACTTATTCCCTCTCAAGAACACCTGGAGAGAAACTTCTTGGTTATCACCTGCTTGTTGGGGCAGAGTAGACTGTCTGAATTGTCACAAATGTTCATCAGCACCTAAGCACTTCTTAAGAAGCTGCGACTTACTGTAAAGCAAGGTGATATTAGCTTAATTTAAACTAAAAAATAACTTGTCTCATTGCTAGTGTAGAAATTTTGAGGTTTGCAAAGGGGAATATCATTCAACGATGGTTTGGTTTTGCATTTCATTTAGGTTGTGACATGTGAAGTAGCGGTATCAAAACATGTGACTTCTATAAAACTAAGGCGTTTATACTGAATGCAGTCAGGAACTAAGTGGATTCTTCTTGGCCATTACGTATGAAGGTTGTTTTTTCTCAGGTGACTGAGAGATTGCATACACCTACATATAATTCAACAAGCTTGTGATTTACGATGATCCTTTGATTATATAAGACTTTTATTTTCCATACTTATATCATGAAATGGATATAGACAATGAAATATTTCCGGAAGGTAATCCAGTAAGTGATACTGTTTCAGTATGTGAAATTTCCAATGAATAAACTAAAATGGAATTAAAATTCAGCACACTGCCCAAGTTTTACTCCAATATTATTGGTTACCGTGTTTGTGAAATTAAGTTCAGATTTATTCTTTAACACACCAATGAATTGTTGGATGGTGGGTTGACAACTGATAATACCGGTTTCCTTTAGTGATCTGGTTTATCAAGCCTTGGGAGACCAGAAGCACGGAGATGTGGAAACTGCGAGGTATTAGTTCTTTGAAAATCAAGCGGCAAGTGATTTCGGTTTCGACTGAACTTGAATTTCCACTGCTGTATGAGTGATATCCTCTTATATGAAACAGCTGAGAATCTTGATTTATCATCTAGGATATAGTCATTCTTATCGAATGTAAGTACACCAGGGCCCTTGTCCAGTTGAGTAATTTCAGCTATCAATTTATTATTTCCGTTTGGTGTCCTTCATAAAAATGAACAGTTTAAGGGGTAGTTAAATGCGATGTATTTGGAAGGAATATTAACCAGACCAAGTTTTGGACCGTTAGGGTGGCATATAATTCTTAAATCGAGTTTCTGTGTCGATTTTGTTTTTAAGATGTCTTGAGACCCTGTAACCAAGACTACCACACCGGATCTAGATGAGGCTTGTCAGTTTTCGGACATTATAATTTAAAACGCAGGGATATCTCTATAGAATATTTTTTAAAAGGAAACAGGCTTTAAATTATAAATAATGGAATACCACCAAAAATGGTAAATACTAAATTGAAATTTGTCCTGGGAGATGAGCATAGTTGTTATGTCAATATGTATTTCTGTCATAAGATAATGTTTTGGTGGAAAAAGTTTCTCCTTATTTCAACTCCGTAATCTATGTTGAATCATCTTTAGATAGGTTTATTTTTATGCTTCAGCTGCATGCTCCAAAACTCCACTTTGAGTAGTCTGATAGTTCAGTAATTCATCCAACTCAAGTTAGGGTCACAAACGTTAACATACTAGTAATTACAGGCATGATACGATCCTTCTGATGGGAGTCTTTTTCACTTCAAATGATTTCTATTTTGAGGAATCGAGATTGTCAAATCGTTAGAAGCAAAAATGATACTTAATGATATTTAGTTGGTTTGCTGATGACTATCTCAGAGTGAAAGTACGTAAATTTATTCAAAAAGATAAAGTCTTCGTTGAAGTCACGCATCCAATGGTCACATGGTGTAAATTAGCTGCCTACTGCTGAGCATGAAATAATCGAATAACAGGACTGTACAAAGATGAATACACTGAATGCTGGATGCCATAACCGCATTTCCTAAATTCCATCACTTCACTCAAACATTACTTACATAGATGACTGATAGAAATCCATCTTGTTTGACGGTATGAAAAAGCAACAAAATACATCATGAATGATTCATCTGGCTCCGAGATAAATTCATTTGAACTTAAATGCGAAGAAACAAGCTTTTGGAGTTTCCTTTTTATTTACTATTTGACCCATCAACGGTGTACTAGACATCATTAACAACTTGCTTTTATCAGACACCGACTGAACATCCCGTCAAACATTAAATCTTAATGAAATCTGAAGGTGAGAAAAGTTATGTTTACGATCAAAATTCAGCGGAAAGCTGTAGAAACAGATAGATGGCAGAACAAGTGCATCATTAGTATCTAAAATAGCTCCAGATTTTTTCATACATTCGCAGTAGACTGTGTGCATTACCATTAACTAAGATGCGACAAGTCATGCTGTAGTACCAAACTAATAACAGCTTATAACGAGAAATGAGAAAGCATGTCAAATAGTAAGAACTCTCAGAACAGTAGTACACTGATTAGTTTCAATCGATAGGTTATTCTAATGGAATAGATATGATATATCCAGGCATAAGTGATTGAACTTTGGAGTGTGAGTAAAAAGCTGCAAATTAACACCAAGAAGACATAATAAAGTAGTTGTCTTGATGTGGATGTATGCATTAACAGGACTAAAATCGTCAGCTAGAAAAGTTGAGAACTGTGGTATAGTTGTGCAATCACTGAGTCTCTTTGATATACGGCAAACTGATAAAGTATTATTTCGCTACATGAAGAAGCTCAGACGAAACTTCTGTGCATATTGTTACTCTTTTATTTCAAACGCCGAGAATCATACAAAGCCAACTTATTCCCGTTTTCAGCTTCTGATTCCGTGTTTAGCATTTGTAACACTATTAGATAAAAAGTCGATTATATTTCGCATAAGTTATATAGCAGAACTTAGTACTTGACATGAGACATCAGAGGCTAAAGCCTTTATATGAGTTATATTTGTATGAATCCCAGCTTGTTTGAAATAAGAAATTCCAAATTTTCGCATAATAGTCTAGTCTGAGCTTCTTCAGGAAAATAATCAAAGAAGCTTGGACCAGTCTTCCATACAAACGTTGGAATTTCTTATTTTAAACCCACTGAGATTTATATAAGTGTAACATATCTATTTTCAACTTTTCAATCAACGCCCAGTATTTGTGAAACTATCCACTGAAATCCTAACTAGGATTCATATATAAGACTCTATACTTGTGGATCGGAAAATGCAAGTTATCCACTAGACAATACCGAAACATTTGTAACAAAAGTATCAATGTGTAGTTAAATTAACTTGCAAACGAGAAAGTAAGGCTAAATATGGATGAAATTTCATGTTATGATTTTCATCCAATAATAAACAGCAATAAAATGAAAATGCAGAAGTTATTAAAACGACAACAAGACAGAAAAAGAATCAACTCTTGTGTGTGTGTAAATATTTTTAGTACAACGAAATAGTTATTCATTTACACACATTCTTTTTGACAGCTTCTAGAAACTCCTCAAACGTAACTTTGTTATCTTTGTTCAAGTCCAATGAGTCCATTACTTCCTATGAAATCAATGAAAAATGAAAACACTTCCATATTACATGTGACATGTTAGTTTATTTACAGTCGTATCAAACTACAAAATGAATACCACGCATATCCAATGGTAGAAAAGAAAAACTGAACGTACACATATTACAGGGTAATGATTGGGTGTGAAATGAAAACCAAGGTCCTAGAAAGATTCAGGTCACTGGACTTCCAGAAACCAACTGATAATCAAACAGCTAAACTCAGCTCATTTCATCTTCTGTCATCATTCTGCGTTAGCAATACCAGTCTGCAAAACCTAGGCCATCTCTTATAAACCTATCAAAAATAAAATGAACCACATTTAACGATAGGAAACTTGACGTTCCTAGTAGTATTTATTGAGCTCATAAAGCGCAATTAGAAATTTATACAGTCTTTCTCCTGAGAAAATATTCCAGCATGTTATCAAACTTTTATATGTTGAACAAATTTGTTCATTAGTGAATATGGAGCAAACTTAGCCCCAGTTACCGTATGAAAAGTGAACCAACCAATTAGCCTTATTGAAAATATCGAAGGTAGTTCACTTACATAACAACTAATGACTAATGAGTGGTACTTGAGTGAATGCAGCTTGGTTCTTCATGGATGTAATAGATCGACTTACAATAAACATAGCACAACAAACATTACCAGTCAAAAGGAGCGTTTCACAGAAAATTTCAGAAGAGAATGTTAGACGTTCTTAGAATGCAGATTATGCACAAACTGCTTCTAAATTGTGTCAAATCAGCCTCATTCATACGAGAAATTATCTTTTTGTATGAAATCAGATTTCAGACTTCAATTTCACCTATCCATTATGCTAACTGTCCCAACTATAATTTTCTTCACTCCTTACACTAGTTATTTTGTGGTAACATTCAAAGAATTATGAATATAGTGCAAGTAGGTCAAGACATATTTTAGCTGAAGTAATAATAGTTTCAAATATCTAATGGGAATCCTAAAATTACAGACACTAGTTACAAATAAACATACCTTTATCAATTTTTCTGCAACTCCCTGTGACATCATTTCACTTCTCAGTTCTTGATACGAAACAACGCCATCATTATTTTTATCTAGGTATTTGAATATTTTCTTGAATTGCTCCGTGTCACGTTTGCTCATTGATGCCATTTAGAAAGATTACTTATAAGGGAATATAACTAGTAAGTTTCATACAAGTTTCTGTAGAAATAAATTTCTAGTGTACGATAATTTTTACAACTGTCACTGCTTTTCAACTGAAGCGAGATTGTAGAGAAAACGTGTGTAATACGATACTGCAAATTTCAAGAGATGTAGGAACAGTTTTGAAATGAACATTCGTAAAACAAAATTTATCACAGGGGAAATGAAATCAAACTAAATGAATGAACACTATGATGATGCCAGTATATTTAATTTTTTGTAATCTTGAATGTCACTCGTAAACATAGTGAAAAGATTGCGCTGAAGTTGGCATGAACGTGCATTACTTATGAAAATCATGTTTATAAGATCATTGCTAAATACTGAAATATTTTACGAAAATAACGGAATATATATTTGGCAACTGGGTATTAATGTCGGGGATTGCTAAGAACATAAATGTCGTCAATCCAGAGTAAAATGAGTTTCAACCAGCTTCAGCAATTATTGAAAAATCCTTGGTCACAAAAGATACCTCCAAAAGCTTATTGGAAAATCTCTATTTGATTTGCATCAGATTAAGATATAATTATGGCATCGGGAACCACTTTGACACGCGTAACGCATGTCAATAAAGGTGAGTTAATCATTCCAATTAGTAAATAAAACCTCAGATTAAGTACACATAGAAACAGAGAAAAATATAAGCAGATCGCCAGTAGCATGCAGCCACATTTCAGCTTCGCCATCATTAAAAAACTATCAGGATAGGATCGTTACGACATTTAAAACTTGGTTATAGGTGTAGAATCATATTTCCCTTTTTATCTAAATAAGTGAAACAAATTTCATACTTTCCGTATTAATACTAAGGTCATCTAGCAGACCTAAAACAAAGCACAAAAAGCTCTCTCTACCACTTCGCATTCCGCCTCTAACTCGGGGAGCTGCATTTCCCCAGCAGAAACAATAACCATACACGATGAATTTTACCACCACGTCAAATCCATTCGTTGCGATTATGTAGATGCAAACAAAAAGGAGAATGTAGCAACTCAAAAGCAGAATGATAACCCAATACCTGTCAATTCAATCTAACCCTAATGTGTACAGCCAGTGCACCTCATCATACACTTCATCCATACACGAAATTCTATCAAATTCTATCAAAAATGAAGCATCTAACTACAAAACATCCATAGAAAATTCACCAGGAACACTGCAGTTACCGAGAATTTATGGCAAGTATTCGTAAATGAATGCATCGAAAACTCGCAATATTAAAATCACATAACAGATTCAAATTGGTCACGATTATTACTAGTCTAGAACAACTTACTCCAGACTTGATACTTCCCGTACAAACAAACAACAAATTCATTGTGTTATCCTATTTTATATCACACGACAATGATACACAAACAACTCTGATGAAGTATTCCATCTCTCATTGGTGTTCATCAAACGTTTGTTGTGACTACCTAAGGCTTTATCAGTTAGTTGAACGCCCACCTCACAAGCTTGTTATTGATGAGTGGGCGTATTTGTCAGTCAACTGACATAAGACAATAATTTCATGAGATGCGTATGAATTCTGTGCAAAAGTACACACTGTTTTCGTCATAGTAAGACAAATTAAAAGATGGATTCAATAGACTTTGTTAACTAGATCATTTTTTTCTGTCGCACACTTATCACCAAGATCCTGTGTTTAGTGAAAATATTCTCAAAATACTGAAACAACTCGATGGAAATCAGTGTAAGTAAAGAATTCACGCACTGTACTACAGTATCATTTCATGTCAAATAGGTTCACTTGAAACAACGCTGTTTGTCATTTCAAATCAACTTATTCAATACGCAGTATGATGAAGAACTTACCTGAGAAAGTGTTATCTGGAATGTTGAGAGGAATATCAGTAGTATGGTGGAATGTGGACATAACGGTTTCGTGTAGCCTCATATCAGAAGAAAATAAGGATAGCTGAGAAAATACACTTTGACTTACAAGGCTACTGCCAACTCGGGGGTTCGGTCGAAGTTCATCACATAAATGTCGCTACTTGAGTGAACAGTGGAAACCACTTATGCACCTGGAAAGGTCATGAATCCCACGTTTACTAGAAAACTGATCATTCCGTAAACATGCAACCATGTGAATGTATGAACGCAAGTCCAACCTGGAATGACATTTTGATTGTGCTTGTTTCAAAGGGAATACTTACTGCAGATATCCAGCATGTTGCCACATAAGCTTTATGTAGCGTGACTGAAGTTAGTCATAATTGTTCTGTTCTAACAGTTTGCGAAATAAATCATTTTGGGTGTAGTGCTTGTTGATCTCTTTATTCATTGTAACATTTTTCATCTACAGTTTCACACTGAGCTTACACGGAGCATATCAGCAGAGGAACTACTTACAGTGAATTTGATTTTCGATTTATCACACGATTATCTTATAATATAGAGCAGTAACAGGCTCTCCTGTCTGGGTTGTAAGAACAGGCTGATATGTGAGCAGACGTGATTAGGAAGAGAATGCTGAACGTGGTATCAATAAATCATTCTGCAGTACAGGTGAACAGATGAACACACGCTGTGAATCACTGCATATGTGGAGAAAGTCATTCTGACTTGGGTAGTTGTAAGGGCTCTTCTCAGTGAACGTGACTGATGACCTAATATTATTTCTGCTGATGACGAATCTCCGTTGAATTCCTGTGAAGCACAGAGAAGCTGTTCGGAAGCGAAACAGGAAGAATGACCAGCTGTTCTGGCTTCCATAGATTTTTGGTGTGTGACGGACGCTTTGTCTACGCCTTTTCAAGTAAATTGCAAATATTGAAAGTGACAGTTACACTATGTATGATGCAGGTCAGTGGTCGAAGACAATCTCTTTTCGCGGATCATCTCATTATTCACGCATTTAACTGACAGTCTCTGTTTCCCCTCATTCAAATTGTTATCACTTCAAACGCCCCCATTGAAACCACCCAATAATGGGAACCTTCGTTCAGTACCTGATACAGTCAGCCTCATGAGTAAATGCCAGCTCTACACAGGAATCACTCCTTGGCATTTGAACAACACACATAAACACGATGGTACACAGGTTACGCCACAACAAACAACTGAAGTACAGTCAGAGGAAGCTGTCTACTTGACTCAATTCAATACAATCCGCTGATGAATGAATGCGACAACCCATGTCGGCGACATAAATGATGGAGCTGACTGAGGCCTAACCAGCCACATAAACGCAGCAACTGGAAGTCACTTTTACCGTGTTAGGCAAGTCTGCGTTTTAGGCAACTCAAAAAGATGGCAATCAATGTCACACTCCTATCAATTCGCAGCATATAAAGATTGCCCTTCCACAACCAGTGCTTATTGACTTCAATACATTCAGTCACCAGTTAATTTCTATTTCGACTTGAGTGTTAACTACTTCATCTGATGATCTCTTCGTCACTCCCAGTCAAATGTGTGCATAAAATTCGTGGTAATTTACTTGAAACAAGTTGTTCGCTTTGATGAGTGTAAGTGGGGTATTGAGGAGATGAAGGTTATCTGGAACATGTGATCTATTAGTCACAGACATTTTGAAGAATCTGATCAGGGCTGAACGTTTCCAATGATTCAAATGAAATATTCAATGAGGAATAATGATGACAGAGTAATGGCAGGAAGTCACCTCAACATTATTGATAGTGAAATGGTTTGAGGTCAACGCAACCAAGTTGAGTGCAGTGTAGATACAAATCGTTTCTGAATGTGTACAGAAGGTTCAGAATTATGAACAACAAGTTCTTCAATGAATTCAACTATTCGTACATGACTGTATAAATACGACAATATGTCAGTATGTTGGGGGAAACTGCCGAAGGTTGAAAGCATCATCATAGTGTGCAAGATGTCATTTGAACTTAACTGAGAGTACGTTGGTTCACTCCACAATGCCTTCAACTCTCCATGAATTTAATAGTGAAGGCCACCTTGGCACCAATCCTTTGACCAGTTTTTAATACATATTTGACTATGGATAAGAAACGACGTTTGCCACGCACATTCATCGTGCTACTGGAGGTCATTGGCTTGTGGACGAACATAGCCATTTGCAGCTGCATATCACGATAGCTGCTTCCAGTGTGTGTGTCTGTTCACACACACATATATCACATGATGCACACTTCGGGATGAAATAAACATCTTATATTTTCTAAGGATTTTTCAGGATACTGTTCATCATGAACTGACATCGATTGCAGAACCATTGGGGACATGAACTTACTGGTCGGTTGATACATTCAATTATGGCATTGTTGACGGATGCGCATCCACGGCAACCAAGTGGATTGATGCCAGGATGATAAGGACACATGAGAAGCAAGTTTACATTGAATCGATGGGTTGAAGTTCAGTGGTCCAAATATTTTAAAAACACAAACTTAATTTCTTCCCAATCCTGATTAGCGACAAGTTTCAAGATGAGTTTCTAGAAGTTCTAATAGGAAGCCATGAGTTGTGTAGCCAGCCAAATAGTGTGTGAAGTGTGGATACACACAATTGGCGTTAGAATTCAGTCTCTCTATATCAAGAGTCAACAAAAGTAGGAGAGTGTGAATTGATGGATGAATGGATATCCACTTCTAAGCGATTTATTTATCAACGAATTGATTTCCTTTTCCTTGCTATCTTGTGTGCAAATGCAGTCAATCTTATTCAGCAGACAATCAATGAAGCCACACCTGTATTGGAATGGATACTGGCCAAAAGACTAAAACATTGTCTTGTCCAAGTCTCCTTCTTTTGAATCGATCCTCTGACTGAACCTCCTCCTTCATGACTAATTCGTGTGTCTGAAACGACAATTTGTCTTCCACCTCATCAGAATTGTCGCGCGGACCATTCACATAGCTTTTATAAAACGTACACTTCGAATCAAGTTTCTAGCTAAATGTCCAACTTACGATATACATCATTTAACAAGAAGCTTGAGAGACCGAACATAGCATATTATCAACTTGTTCAAACCTTTGCCCTCAGAGTTGAAATGAATTCGGTCGGTGAAGAATAAGAATTATCGTCTGAGTGGGTGTTAGGCAAACAGAAATATAAGATTTCTGAAGGATATATTGTTCCTAAACGACATCAGTAGTCTTACCTGACAGTATCTTAGTCAATAAAGAATTCCCATGTGGAGAATAGATGATCTGTTCCTTGATATTATTATAACCTAATTGGCCAGTTGTTTCAAATGTGTCATTCACGAACGCTTGCAAACATAATCTCTCATATGATCCAATAGGTTGGCCGACTACTTTGCTGCGTTACGTGCATTGACATGATTGGCATGTGGAAAATATTGCAAATGGTGGATTATTGGCTTTGCATCATATATATATATATGGATTTCCATTGATAGCATTGATATTGAACAATTTCAGTGGGATAGAATCTACTCTTTATTCCTATCTAAATATTTCTTCAGTAAACAATCTACAAATCCACCTTCAACTCCAGGAGTGGATAACATGTTATGTATATAAACAGACTTGACCAAGACAACAACTACTTCTGAATAGGATAAGGTATGGTGGTGTTGCGATTATTTCGCAACCTATACAGTGCATTAAAATCCTGAGGAGTCAGCATACTCAGTCGTTGTATTCATGCACTGTAGAGCTGAGCTGATAACCGATTTCAAATAGTTTAGCATCTAAGTCAACTCTGCTTGCCGGCAGAAGTTCGGACAAGTGAGTTTAGCAAATTTCCAAATTCGGCATCAGTCTTACCATCGGAACTTTCTGTTGCAAAACACCGAATACAAACACAGAAGGAAGACAAGTCAGCACAGTTGGGAAAATTATTTATCGAGAGGTCACAAGAGCCTGTCACTGTTTTAAGCTGCTCATTTAATATTGTCAGATGCGAATGGGATCCAAGACACCTTTCAATGAAGCAAAAGCATCAGCTTCCTAAAATAAGCGTTAAACTTCCAGTGTCTCTGTCATGGATAAAATTTGAGAACAGAGTGTTTCGAAACTATCCATTGACTTTGCAAATGGCTTTTACCAATGCACGTCTTCGAAAATATATTGCAACTTTGAGTGAACTGTTTTGAATTGGTGTTTTCTCTCAACTGATCCACTTCACCACTTACTTCAACATATACTAGTATCAGATAAATGTGCATTCAAATATAATGAGAAGAATGTTGAATGCAAACAAAATACTCAGCAGGTGCAATCACTTGCAAGAAAGACTTTATTTATGTATGTTGATGAAGGAGGTGATAAATTATAATAATAAGCATAACAATCACTTTATTCCAGACAATGACTTTCAATACAGTTTGGAATT